CACTAGCACAATTCTGAAGTGTGTTTTTCATTTCATTGCAGAAGTCCTTCGCTTAATTTCCAGCTTCTTTGGTAAGCTGAATCAATATTTCCCCCTCTTTAGTTTTTCGGATTTTGTTCACGTTTTTTCCGAATTCTTAAAGATCTGGTTTTGTTTTAATGATCTTTAACATATCAGCGTAAGACTTGTCTGCCGTCTTACTAATGAGAATTGCTTCCGGTTTTACTCTAGGCGCTTTAAAAGGAATGTTTAATACCTCCTTCTCCATTGTTTTTTGTACTGCGTTTTGTTTCCGCAGAGGTGATGTTTTTTGCCCACTCATACCTTTTCGTTACCCTATTAATTTAATTAAATTTAATTAAATTAAAAGGGTATCCTAAATTAATTAAATTAAAATAATTTAATACCTGTAAATTTCAAATGCTCAAAATTCCAAATTCAAGTAAAAATTAAAATTTGCTAATAAATTTAAAATTTGTTTTGTAACACTTATTCATTTTGTAATGTTTCTGTTTAATAATTTCAATTGCTGTCTCTATCAGCTGATTTTATATGTGTGCAAATATTTTGCAAAACAAAGAAGAGCACCAAATCAAACAAAATTCAATAAAAATAAAAACAAAACATGTAAATTCAAAAAGGTGAAGAATTTAAAATGAAATTTTTAAAAAAAATAACACTTATCGGCTGCAGCTCTTTATCGCTCAACACAGGTAGTTGAGCGTTGAATTTGTTGGTTGTTGTATGCTGTTGTTGTTTGTGATGTCTGCTTTTTTGTTGTATGGTGTCTTCTTTGCTGAACCATCCCATGTTGATTTTCGGTCTATTAATTTTCGGTTGCAGGTGTTGCCAAGGTATTGGCCACGAGACTGGGTCTTTGTTGTTTGATGTGAATTCATAATTACAATTAATATAATTCACTCAGTTTGTATCATATTATTTATTTATTTAATTTAGTTCACGTTGTTGTGATATTGGTTGCACAATTTATTTTATTATTTATTAATGTTATTCATAATAAAAATTTATAATTACTATTAATATAATTCACTCAGTATCACACTATTTATTTATTTAATTTAGTTTCACATAATTTATTAACAAAATAAATTCGTAATTTATTTACTTTAGTTCACATTTATTTACTTATTCACGTAAATAATTTTTAAAAATTTTTCTTTGTTCAATTGTTCAATTCATTATGGTTCTTGCAACATTTGCAGGATCGCCATGTAAAAGGTTCATTCTACACTTAACTTATATTTTTGATTAAAACACTAAATTTCTTTTTAAATGATTTATTTTATTTAATTATAATTTTAAGATCCTACATGAGACTCTATATAGACTCACTCAAAATCAACTAAAGACTATGAAAATCAACTTAAAACTAACTCTACTTTTTACTATATCGAACCAAGACGGTTTGGTTTCTTATCTATTAACATAAATCTTATATACTTAAATTCTATTGGTTATAATAATACATAATTCTAATTTTACCTCTTATTCTATTGGTCAACTATCATGTGTTTCAATGACACACTTTTTAAATAGTAGTACTACGGGTGATCATATTGCATCTGCATTGCATGCAATATGATTGCGAAAAACACAGTTTACTTCCATGTGTTCTAAATATGAAAATACAAATAGCCAAGCGCATATTGAAATGCGGCAGAATATTTGTCATAAAGAAATGATACAAAGGTGAGTCGAATTACTTAACTCGCCGAATATTTAAAAGTGGCTTTTTGGGTTTCCATGTCATAAATTGCACATGGATTGAAACTTAAGTGTCATGTGCTTAAGTTTCACATGACCGCACACAGCACATTGTGTGTGATCAAGGTTAATATGACACTACATAATCTTACTCTGTGTATGTGGAGTGTAGAGATGACACCCACTTAGTTCAAGTCCGGCGACCTTGCTTTTGACAAGCCATGGTTCTTGGACAATTGCCAAGTCCACATCACGCTCCGCGAGGTACTTAATCAGGTCGAGCAAGGCTAAAGTGAGCGAGGATCTATTTCGAGTGTGTCAAGACTATCGATTGTCCGCGTAAGGAAATCCAAGAACTTCTTGTTGTCGCAACCAACAACCTTAACACCTTTCTGCCAACAGCTCCGTCGAACACTAATTCCTCACTATCCGCTTCCGTCATCGCTGTCATCAGACGCGCCTCAACGAGTAGTCAATTCTTAGGCGTTATCTTCCCATCAGAGTCGACTTTGTCTATGATGGCTACTTGCAGCTCCATTGGGGATTCAAAAGAGGCCGATAATTTGGGCTTTTTTGAGTCCTTATGTGTCTCTTCTTCAGACCGTGCCCTTTTTTGGCTTTGCCTGTCGAAGAGGAGGATATCTTTGAAGAGGATCCTGTGGGTTTGGTGTCAGCTTAATACTACTATTCTTGACCGCACTCGTTGGATCCGCTTTGTCTGCCTTTGAAGCGATATCCTTAATTGACTTTGTTTCCACATTGAATTGCCCTTGTTTCACTGATGATTCAGCTGTAGCGTTGCCTCTTTCGAACTTTGCTACAGCCTTTTCATGTTTCCTAATTAGGTACTTTTCCCTCTTCGTGAAGGAGGAAGAGTCCCTCGCCCTCATTTTCCTTAGATAGTAGACCGATCGCTTGTAGCCATTCCTGACCTTCTGCTCCTTTGTCACTACCTTACACGGCTCCATCCCCGGCATTGAAGCCTTGGATGAGGAGGATTGAGGAGGATCAAGTAAAAGTTTCTCAACCTCTGGACTGATGTCATCGACGTTGCTAACTTGTGATAACGAGTCATCGTCGGTTGCTGTGTCAATGCGTAAGTTCAGAAATTGAGACCCTGAGAAAGCTGATTACATACATATATAATATGACTTAATATATTTAGTATATATAATATGTTTAGTAATATATAAAAAAAATATTTAACAAAAATTTATTTAAATTATAATAAGTTTTTTTACAGTTTACAAATTTAATTCAATATGCAAATTAAATGTTTAGCATCGCCTGACTTAATTCCTCTTTTTCAAGATTGTTGTGTAAAAACATGATTTGATTAATAGATCTTTGACTTGATCAAATCATTGTTCTTTT